GGGGCTCGATCCCAGGACCCTGGGATCATGACCTGAGCTGAAGGCAGACGCTTAACGACTGAGCCACCCAGGCGCCCCAATACATTTGTAATTTTGATAGATGTTGTCAAATTGCCTTCTATAAAGTCTGGGTCAGTTTACACTCCCACTGGCAACATGTGACACCCATTTCATGAACACAGTGTTACATTGTACTGATGGGCAGGATGATGGGTGAAAAGGCTTTCCCACACTCCTTTATTGTGTCTCAGTATTGTTTAAATTTGCTTTTCCCTTATTACAGTCAAATTTTCCTTTGCCCAGTTTCTATTGGATTATTGGTCATTTCCATAACAGTTTTGGAGTGCTTTACGTATTGTGTCTGTCCTGTGGTCTAATGCCATTTCATAGTCCTGCAGAAACTCTAGGTTTTTATGTACTCTAGGTTCTTATGTATTTTTCACTGACAAATCTTATGTTGGAAACTAGTTGACTTGGCAATCCATTGTAGTTTCAGGTGTTGAGACTGGAAACGAGTACAGGAATTTAAAGCAAGAAGTTTCTGAAGAAATGGAACCATATGAGAATATGTCTAGATTTGAAAGTGAAGTGTCCCAGCCCGCTCGGTGCAGAAAAGCTGATGAATCTGAAGCAAAAACAGAAGAATTATCTGGACACTCCAGGAAAGGTGAACAATCTACAGGTGATGAAAACAGAGTCAGTCTGACTGAACAGCAGAGGGTCTGTCTGGGAGAAAAACCTCACGAGTGCAAGGAGTGTGGGAAAGCCTTTAGTCAGCACTCGCGTCTTATAGAACATGAGAGGGTCCATACTGGAGACAGGCCCTACAAATGCGAGGAATGTGGAAAAACTTTCCGTGGGAGAACTGTGCTTATTCGGCACAAAATAATACACACCGGAGAGAAACCATATAAATGTAATGAGTGTGGCAAAGCCTTTGGCCGGTGGTCAGCTCTTAACCAACATCAGAGACTTCACACAGGAGAGAAGCACTACCACTGTAATGAGTGCAGCAAAGCCTTTAGCCAGAAAGCAGGCCTCTTTCACCATCTCAAGATCCACACAAGAGACAAACCGTACCACTGTACTCAGTGTAACAAAAGTTTCAGTCGGCGCTCCATACTTACTCAGCATCAAGGAGTTCACACTGGGGCAAAGCCCTATGAGTGCAGCGAGTGTGGAAAAGCCTTTGTTTATAACTCATCCCTTGTTTCCCACCAGGAGATCCACCACAAAGAAAAGTGCCATCAGTGTAAGGAATGTGGGAAATCCTTCAGTCAGAGTGGCCTTGTTCAGCATCAGAGGATCCACATTGGGGAGAAACCTTACAAGTGTGACGTATGTGGAAAAGCCTTTATTCAGAGGACGAGTCTTATAGAACATCAGCGAATTCACACTGGGGAGAGACCCTATAAATGTGATAAGTGCGGGAAGGCTTTCACTCAGAGATCTGTCCTCACGGAACATCAGAGAATCCATACTGGAGAGAGGCCCTACAAGTGCGATGAGTGTGGGAATGCCTTCCGTGGAATCACCAGCCTCATTCAGCATCAGAGAATCCACACTGGGGAGAAACCCTACCAATGTGATGAATGTGGCAAAGCCTTCAGACAGAGGTCAGATCTTAGTAAACACCAGAGAATCCATACTAGAGGTGGTCCCTGTAAAGAGTGTGGGGAATCGTTCAGGCAGACCTCAGCTCTCATTCAACATCAGACTATCCACAGAGGAGAAAAGCCTGTTTCTCTGTGATGGCTACAGGGAAGCTGTGTCACAGAGTGCGGGCTGGAGAGAAGTCCCGGCTTTGAAGTCATTTAGGGAAAATGCCAGTCACTGTTGCTATAAGGAAACCTCAGCTATTTCATAAAGAATTCCCTGTGTGCTGCCCGTTCTGTCAGGTGCTGTGGAGATCAAGAAGCATAACACCAAATTCCTCTTCTCCGAAGTTTACAGTTTAGTTGGGGATAGCTAAATACCACGTGTGAGGTTAGGTGAGACTGCAGGGGGACAGGAGAATTGATGGCGCGAGTCCTGTGTCTTGGAAGTGGCTTGTGGCGCACAGTAAGTGCTGTCCATCTGGGAGGACGGACCACCGACGCCTCGGGGTCAGGAAAGAGCTTACGAAAAGGGTTGGGTGGGCAGAATTGGAAGGCAAAATGGAAAGCATTTAGGGTGAAGGAAATGCAGGCCGAGTGCTCGTGGTTTGGCGGCGTCCGAGCCGACCTGAGGTCGAGGGTCCGTCCGGTTGGGCGGGTGATGGCGGTAGGCTGGCTACAGAGCTTGGGGACAGACTGCGGGAGGGTGCGCGTGCCTCTTAGCACTTTTCTGGCTTCGTTCCTAAAATCTCTCTGTAAATTGAAATCACTGTCCATTGGAAAGGTGAGGACTCTTGCAGGTGGAGATGGTGACATGGCTACCATGTCACACAAGGGAAAGACCAGCCCCTGAAGAGTAGGTCTCTGACTTCAAGTCCTGTCCGTTGCTCTGGGGATCCCTCCACTTCACTGAGCATCAGAATTGCGTGTGGAGCTCGTTTAAAATGCCCACGTCCCACTCACGGACCTTCTGCCTCGTTAAGTCTGGGATGGGGGCCGGGAATCTTCATGTTTGTAGCCGGTCACCTGATGCTGCAATTTGAGAAGCCGCGCATTGAGTCCCAGCTGCCTTCATGGTTGCCTGTGGAGCGTGGACGCGTGCGCGCAGTCCCGTCAACAGGCACTGCTGCTGGTTTAGAGCGGAGGGGAAGCCGACGGAGGAGAGGTGCAACCGGTACTTTAGAGAGAGGCTGAGCGCTGGCCAGCTGCCGGGGCTTCAGGCTGGCCTGCCCACCCCTTCACATTTAAGGGTGTCAAAATAGCCTCCTGACCTGCATTCGAAGGCTGCAGGGGCCATCTGAGCACAAGGCTGTGTGTGTTGTCAGGGGAGGGTGCTAGTGTCCTCTCCTTGGCTCCTGACCTCTCTTTTCCCCCGATTACGTAGTTCTCACGTTCTGAATTCCCCGATAACTGCTCTTCAGAACTGGTTTACAATTTTTTTGGTTTGTATACCTTCTTGAGCCCATAAAAGAGCCAAAGATTAGTGACTCTGTCCCTTGGGACTTGTGAAACCATGAACCGATAACTGGTTGACTTTACTCCTGTTTTACTGAGTAAACAGTTCGGTCCTAGATGAGGGCCTGTGATGATTATTGTGGGCAGTCGGCAGCCAGAGAGGCACACATGGCTCCTGGTCTGTTGATCTTTTTATTTACAGAGACTATTTTTAATCTTCACTCAGCTGTCCTCCAGTTTCCCTCCCTTGCTACCTTGCCACAGTAGACTCTGCAATTTCTGGGACTACCTCCCCACCCTACCTCATCCCACAGGACTCCAGGATCCTCTCCACCCCTCACCTCTAGCTGGTTAGTGGGTTTGAAGTGGTGAGACAAAAGGGGGAGGGGAGAAATGGGTAATTGCCCTCCTTTAACTACTCTTAACTGCCATTGTATCCAGCCCTGTGTCTCTATCCCATCTCCTCCCTGCTCCTGTAATGTACTCTGCCCCCTTTCCCTTCGGCCCTTGTCTCCTATCCCTCTATCCGTAGCCCTATCCAGAACATAAGAGTATCAGCACGGGCTTGGAACCACAAGGGTTCCTGGAGAAATAGCTATGTAACTTTTAAGCTCTAAGTGTGAGCACATTTTCCCATAAGAAGAATAATGGTATTAGTACTATAATTTAGGCATATAATGACACATGTGTCATTTGCTTTTGGGATTGGAATTTACATGACCATGGGAAAACATCCTGAGTTCACAATAGAAGAAAGCAAATGAACATTTGAAAAAACAACTCAGAGTCACAAGTTGAGGACTCTCTCTTTAGGTGTTTATCCTAAGACCAACATGGGAGCTGCACACATGAGACACTGAGGCAGCCAGGGTTGGGGAACTAACCTTTTACATCCAGAAAACAGTTTGTTGCCCCGAGTGAGCCTGAGAGCTTGAGCTGTGTGTTCCTGCTCCCTTCCCCAGCTCACCCTGCCTTGCATTTCTCACTCTGGCAAGCTCCTCGCTGCTTAGTGATGAGAACCCGTATGAGCATGTCCTCTTCACCAACTAATGCTATTCGTGCTTGTCACCTGATCTGATGTCAGACACGGTATCCAAACTGAAGTTACTCTTTGACCTCTCTCGAATCCTACTGCTCACTGGAACACGATTCTTACTTTAAACTTGCTTTCTGTTCACAGCGCTGTTACAGGTTATGCAGTTCATCTTCTGCTTAACACGTTCTCAACGCAGACGCGTGCCTCCATTGGCCTCTAACGCCTTTAATTGCCTAATATAAAGGAGCCATAGATAGAGACCCAGAACATCGGGATATGCCTGTGATATAGCATACAGTTCATAACTTGTTTAAAAATAAAGGTGGGAGTTTTGTTCTGGTTGTTTCTTGTACTTAAATATAGTTGCAGTACCAAGAAAGGGTGGGGTGGTGTGGAATTTCCAGGTAGGCATCAAAAGGGTCAAACTATCCAGGATAAGGAGAAAATAGAGTATAATAACTGGAGCTAAATTGGCAACACAGAAGTAGAAGGCCCTGAGGGGCAAATGGAGGACATAACAGGTTCGATATGAAGTTGGGGAATGTGGCAAACAGAGAATGATGAAGTCCATAGTGTATCTTTATGGATAAAACAGGACCTAGGAAATCAGGGTCCTTTGAAGCAGCTTACCTTTGTGGATTTTGAAACCATCAGCAATAGCAGGCAGTAGGATGGAAAGGAAAAATGTGAAATTGAAGCAAGTCCAAGGTAGAAATAATGTCAGTCAAGAGTAGTAACAGCCAGGTTGAGGAACTGGTGTAACACCTGAATCACAAAGCAGTGGCTTAGAAATAACAATAAGGATGAGAGTGAGACTGACTGGCTTCTCTTTTCTAATTGATTCAAGGTAAACAAGATACTGAGTGTTTAAGACAAAAAAAGTGAAGGGGGCTTTGAATGAAGAGTAACCTGACAAACGGGTTTAGGGGGTGTAATAGAAAGGACCCAGTTGTAAGAAGAGGTTGCTGGAATTTTAGGTGTGAGATAAAGCTACTGAGGAAACAATGGGATTGAGCAGGGCTCTGAATTGAGAAATGTCAGTTGTGGGGTGAGGCTAGCAGTGGAGAGCAGGTCTGCACCCCTGTGCTCTGAGCAGAAATAGCCTCTTGTTATTTGCCATAGATTATTCATCATAGAGTTCTTACAGTCAAAACAAAGCCCTTATTGGCGTCTTTGGGAGTCGAGAATAGGATTTGTTAATAATATGTAACATACACGGCTTACTAAGGGTCGGGCATTACCAAGTGGTTTATTTTCTTCTTAGCTGGGGAAACTGAAATCAGTGAATTGAAGCTGCCTGAGGTCACAAAGTTAGTATATAGTGGGGCCAAGCTTTGAACCCAAGCAGCCCAATTCTAGAGCCCACACTTCCTATTTCAGTTGAAGGAACCCTGTGTTGCAGTGGTAATCAATGTCCTGAGTAATGATCTGTGGAAACTTTTCTACTGTCATTTCTGAAAGAGACTTCAGAAACTCCAGAGTCCTAGGTCCAAGCACCCAAGGTAATATCACCACCTTCTCTGCACACCAAATCTTGGATGAGGTTTGGTCAATGTAATGTGAACCCTAATGCTTGCTGCCTACACAAGGAGGGTGTCCACAGGAGACATTCCACTAAAAATGGACTCTTTATAGGAAAGGATCACCCTCTATTCTGACAGAATATGGGATTTTTGGCAGTCCTCATTAATACACATCATAAAGCTGATGTCCGGTTATGGATCTATCCAATAACCCATATTATGGATCTATTCTTGATGAGGGTTTTATATTTGTAGCTAACACCACTTCTAGGATTAACGGAAACAGAATTATATAAAATAGTTCTTTCAGGTGCCTCTCCTAACTCCACAAGCCTACAATTTATTTGAGCAACAAGTTGCCCTATTCAGTTTAGGGATAATCATTTGACAACCTTTAATTAAATAGTCTCAACTTTCATCCTTTCACACTGAAAAGTTCTCGTGTCACAGCCCCTCTAGCAGTTCATTTTATTGGAGTTTCTTTGGGTCCTCTCTCATAACCTAATGTTTTTGGGTGTAATTGGTAAGGAGTCCTTGCACATTTTTTATACACACATTATATATATATATAAAGTATATATGTATGAATATATTTTATAAAAATATGTGTTGTACGTAGGTTTTATTTTATACATATAATTTGATTTTGATCCAGCCATGGTAAGTAAACTCAGTTGAGTAGCTCCTCGGCTCACATTTTAAGACCATCATTGAGAGCCAGCGGTTTTCCCTTGATTTCATGGAAACGACTGACTGTTCACCCACACTCCGAGGTCTGAAAGCCCATCGGTCAAGGCTCCCAGAGCTTTCACCCCGCACAGCTGAAGGGGTACGTGTTTGTTTCACGGATCATCTTAGCCCAAATGGCCTGGTCCTGGGCATCCCAAGAAGGGCCTCCAAGTGGATGTTATTTGTCACCTGTGATTTATGGTTAGCTCTTCACTAATTCCTCTCGAGGCTTGATAGGCGTATCTTGCTTGTTGATCTAGTACCTCAGTGGGCCTACTTAAGTGGTGACCTCCTTTCATGCCCGCTAAAAAACGTGACGGTTTTTGTCGTCGGCTGAATTCGGGCGAGTGATTGACCGTCGTTGTGTCCCGCTTTCCCCGTAGGGCGTTGCCGACTGGGCGTTACGTGGGGGTAGGTGGGTTGCACACTCAGTGCTTCGCGCCCGGGCGCACGCCCGCAGGACCGCCGCGTGGTGCGCCGCCCGGGTCCGCGGGTCCTCTCCTTCCTCGGGGACAGCCAGGCTCGCGCCCCTTGCCACGCGAGCGTGGGCCCCGCTCACCTGCGGGCGCCGCCCGGAGGCTCTGCGGGGCTGGGACGCCGCTAGGCAACCACCGAGAGGAGAAGGCCTCCCGGTTCCTAGAGGAGACCGCGCGGCGCCGCGGGGGCGGGGGGGCTGCAGCGCCTGGGGGACGGGCCGCGTTCTGGGGGAGGC